TCCCCAGCCCCTGACCCTAACCCAGCCTAAACTGTAATCCTGACACTCAAATCACACTTTGGCCCCACAAAGCTGAGTACACACGGCCACACTGACTGGAAGGTGCAGTGTCACTAGCCACGCCCTCACACACTGCTGGTTATTTGAAATGAACGAGTTGCGGAGCCGCTAGCGCACCGGCGCAAAGATTTTTTCCTCCTCCAACAGGTGGCCCTCAAAGGTCTGGATAAACTGTTCGGCTTCTAAACATCGCATAGCTCGCTCTCTAAGACTGCAGGGATAAGCAGGCGTGGCTCACGGCTAAACTCCATTTAAAAAAGTGGGCATTGTACGGGCAGCTGTCCCGTGGGTACGTTATAAGCCCCAAACTAGACACTTTCTGTATTTATTAATCGCCCTGTGATCAGCTCGGCTCTGCCGCAGTCTCACACGACGCTTCTATTTATCTGAAGCCCCGCCTCTGCAGGTAACAGCACAGGTATGGCACACATTACTACTCACCGACCACCAGAAGTTTAGTCTCTCCAAATCGAGCTCTGGTTGTTATCACATTGACGCTATAGTCCCCACTGTCCCCAGGCGTCAGGGCGGAAAGGGTCAAGGAGCCGTCGGTAGAGTTAAGCGAAGCTCTCCCCGTGTAAGCGTCTTCCACGGTCACAGTTCCACCAACAAATGTAGCCACACCATTTGGGCCATTGAAAGCCCAGGTTATGACGCTGGGCGGGTAACTAATCAGAGGTTTCAGGGTGACATTTCCCCCCACAAGTGCAGACACGGGACCTGCGGGCAGAATGCCCTGCCCCACACAGCATCCTGCAAGGAACACATTAGACAATAATAATAACAATAATAACAATAATAATAATAATAATAATAATAATAATAATAATAATAATAATAATAAGTAAAAACTACGAAAAGCTCATGAAGCAGCGGAGCGCTCGGAGCTTCATCCTCTCACCGAGCAGCGGCAGCAGGAGCAGGAGCGACTTCAGGGAGAGCGGATCCATCCGGACGGTTCAAGTGTTCCCAGCAGAGAGAGACACGGAGGAGACGCGGCAGGAGCTGCTGCTGTTAGAGGGATACACCCAAAGGTGAACGCGCACACACGCACTCCCTCTTTATATGCAGCCCGCCCTGCGTCACTCTTCCTGTTTCTTAAAGAGTTTAGATTTAAACCCTCCCACCTCCGCGCTCAGGTGCCCCCCCACACACACACCTACCTTACCTCTGAGACCACTGAGCGCGGTCTTCTGCTCGTCCCCCGGCCCCCTGTGCTCACGGTGTGTCTTTACTCTGGGGGTTCTTGTGTTTGTTTCTGGTGTTTTTGGACACTGAGTGATTCCTAATAAAGTGGATATAACTCGTGACTTTACTGTTAGAGTCGTTTCCTGGAAATCAAACAGTATCTGCGGATGTTATGAAATGAACGTTGGATGAATGCATCATGTGTAACGCATCAAAGGCATGTCAGACACTTATGAGTTAGCCCATCTCCAACCATAATTGTGGTTGAATAGACGCACAAAGAAAGTAGACCTGCAGTTCAGTGAGGCGATGCTTCCACCCAGTGGAGAGACACTCAACGTGGAGCTGCGCTATCAGCTGCAATGATCACACTAACACCTGCATGAAACTTTGTGGAAGTGAACTGGAAGCAGGCAGAATTCATTACACAGAAGTGTGTCCGCATTACGCCAGGGCCGAGTCCAACACAGTTTACCTTTACAATGCATTGAAGTGTTTTCTATGACCTTATTCAAAAGGGTAAACTTGTATATATCCTAGGGTGACCATATTTTGATTTCCAAAAATAAGGACACTTAGCTCAGTCATGAAGAACTTGCTTAAAGAAACATATTTAACATATTTAAACGACACCTCTGTGCGGTTAATGAATTATGAAATAAAATATGTCATATAGGTTTTACAAGTCAACAAGCGCAAAACAAAATATCCTCTGGAATTAAATAGTGATGCAGAAATAATGGCTCATCTGCATAAGAAAAATTACCAGTTTTGGGTTTACCCGGGCATTTTGACTAGAGACCGGCCCAGCAGGTATTACAGGAGAAGCCATAAAGCCTTTGAATGAAAACGAACGCTGTTGTGACAGTGATGTACAGTCTTGGTGGTTTATGTATGATTTCTATGCATTTTACATCATATGACCACTTTGGTTGTAAGATTCAGATAATAATTGAATAAAAGCGAGATATTGTTAATGCCCTACCTGCCCCCCTGGCAACACTTTGCTAGACCCGCCCCTGCACAGTTACCAGCTGCATAGAAAAGGATCCTGGTGTTATTTGTCTCTCAGAAACAGTTCATAACTTCAACTCATCCATGTCACCTAAAAGGTAAACCTGTTTCTCCATCACAGCTCTGATGATCCAGTAAGGACATCTCCTGGTTTCATCTTCATGTTTCCCTCTCACCACATATCCAAACCGACATCATAACACCATCAGTAACATCATAGCACCACCCAGCTGTATAGAAACTCCATCATGCTAGCGAGCACGCAGTACGAGTTATTGTAACTGACTGTAAAAAGTCAGCACAACGAAAATAAACTAAACTTGGTTTATATCTGACCCAGATGGACTGCAGGTCAGAACTTCTTACCTGAAGTTCAGTTCACCTGACACTCGGACCGGCGGCCGCCTCGGGTCTCTCCTCCTCCCCTTCCCTCATCCACCTGCTGGCCTCTGTGGAAGCTCCGCCACAGCCACCACCAAACAACTGAGTTATTTTTACACATCGACCAGCATCTGACCAATCCACCACCTCTCATTGTTTATACCGTTACAAAAACAGCAACAACAAAACCATCGGCCCGTAAAGCTATGGTCGGTACGAGGGAAATTTCTTTTGCAGTTCGTCTGATAAGATGCACTTGTGCTTTGGGATCTTTTAAACATCATTAGGCGCGTTGCTGCGCGTTGTCAGTCCCGCCTGTGAGCGCAGAACAAGCACTCACAAAGCAGCAGTTCGGGGATGATGTCTCACACGTGGGCCCGGACATTTTTATCAGTCCCCCCGGACGCCCAGATAGAACGTGAAAAGTGGACATGTCCGGGGGTAAGAGGACGGTTGGTCACCCTAATTTATCCCATATTCAGAACACATAATGTGAAATGTGGTTTGTTGCCCAGGGCAACACCGTGGCATAGTTGTGCAGACAAGGAAAGAGCGTATCCAAAGCTTTACTGAGGAACGGAGAAACAGCCTCTTCCCAATTAAAAAAGACAAAACACTCTCTGCTACGTTCTCGGTCCGTCTTTGGGGTGGAACAAATCTAAGCCATGAAAAATTAAAGCAGCTCTGGAGGAAAAAGCAGTTCAGCCTGATACGGGCAAGGTGTGTGGGTATGAAGGCCTCTAGAATGCCTTTCTTATCACAGCTGTGCAGTGAGATACAGAGCATCTCTTGCTCAGTGCAAACGTGGGAGAAGAAAGTATTTGTGCTGTGGTTTCAGCAGGCATTAACACACACACAGGATCACCGGAGAAAAACATACAGAACAAAATGCAGCAGTATATACAACAACGTTTTACAGTGAGGGACGTTGTTCTGTTCACAGCTTGCCTCTGCACATTTTTACTTCTGACAAACTGCCTCTAAGATCCTCTTTGAACTTCCGGTCATGTGACTGACCTGCTGCCAGTGGACCAGATTAGCTGAGAGCTGTTTCTCTTCAGAACCACCGAGTACTTTTCCACAGACACATGCTGCTGCCATCAAATCCAAAGTGAGCGCATATTAAGACTGTTAACATAAACAAAGCAAACATTCAAACATTACATGTTTTCTGTGCTCTGTGAATAAAATGTGTCTTCATGAGAAATCATGGCTTCTGTTTCTGTTGTTTCCTTTTTCTGATCTTTGACAGTCAGCAGTCATCTGCTGCTAAAACCATCCATCCATTCGCTTATCCTTTTCAGGGTCGCGGGGGGCGCTGGAGCCTATCCCAGCTGTCATAGGGCGAGAGGCGGGGTCCACCCTGGACAGGTCGCCAGTCTGTCGCAGGGCCAACACACAGGGACAGACAACCATTCACACTCACATTCAGTCACACCTAGTGACAATTTGGATTAACCAATTAACCTATCCCCACAAGCTGCATGTCTTTGGACGGGGGAGGAAGCCGGAGTACCCGGAGGGAACCCACGCAAACACGGGGAGAACATGCGAACTCCACACAGAAAGACCCCGACCTGATGGTGGAACTGAGCTCAGGACCTTCTTGCTGTGCAGTAACAGTGCTAACCACCGTGCCACCGTGCTGCTAAAACCATCAGACTTTATGTGGTCTGGTAACAGAGTGAAAAATAACTGCTGCTGTGACGCTGTCACTTCCTGTGCCAATGAACCACAGCTATCTGACCACATCTATATGCAGCACACACCACCTCATGGTTACCAGCAACACAGAGATCGAGACCCTTCTCACTCCATCTTCTCTAAACCGTTAAACTGACTGTGTGAATGGAAGGATGGGTGTTTTTGGCTGAGGGCCCTTCATTGTAAGAACCAGCACGATCTACACCACTATGATCTATATTCACATCTCGTTTCTTTTCACCACTGAGGAACAAACTGTGGTTATTGCAGATTGTGTTCTGGGAAACGTGACACTAGTCACAGTAGTGAATTGTCATCCAGAGGCCAGAGCAGACGACACTGAGGGAACCTGAAAACTACTGGCTGAGTCTCTGTAGTTTCCTCTGGTCCCCAATCAGACCAGCAGTGACATGTTTAGCTGCATGTTCTCCTTAAACTGCTGGCTGTCTGAGTGGTGTCCCAGAAATGACGTGGGCATCATAGATAATTGGCAAACCTTCTGGAGGAAACCTGGTCTTGTTAGGAGAGACGGCATCCATCCCACTTTGGATGGAGCAGCTCTCATTTCTAGAAATATGGACACATTTCAATGCACATATTAAACAAATATGTAAGACTGCTTTCTTTCATTTGTGCAACATCTCTAAAATTAGAAATATCCTGTCTCAGAGTGACGCTGAAAAACTAGTTCATGCATTTATTACTTCCAGGCTGGACGACTGTAATTCATTATTATCAGGAAGTCCTAAAAACTCCCTGAAAAGCCTTCAGCTGATCCAAAATGCTGCAGCAAGAGTCCTGACAGGGACTAGAAAGAGAGCAGATTTCTCCTCGTAAGGAGGAGGACTCCCTTACTGTTATTTATATTATAATCTGTATAGCACTTTAGCAGCACACCTTTCACTTTATTAAAAGCACTTTATTTAGCATCACACTTTAAGCAAGGATCGGGTCCCCCGACACAAACAGAGTAACAGAGTGTACGCTGTTAAGTGCCAGATTGGCAGGATTTATACATCGGGGAAACCAAACAACCTCTGGTGATGTCACAACACAGCAGAGCCACCTCGTCAGGCCTGGACTCTGCCAGGACACTCTTTCAATGATGAGGATGTAACATCCTGGACAGGGAGGAACGCTGGTTTGAGGGCGGAGTCAAGGAGGCCATTTACGTGAAAAGGGAAAGACCATCTCTGAATGGAGGAGGGGCCTAAGGGTACATCTGTCACCATCTTACATGCTGTGATTGCAGCCATTCCCCAACTCTCTGTGAATGGGACTCATGGTTATTGATCAGTGGTCACGATAATTTACATATTAATGATCATGTAACTGAGCTCGGTGGCAAACTCAAGGCCAGGAACAGGAACAGATCTCACCTGTGATACAGATCCTGAGTAAAACTATTGTTTTGTCCTACTTCCATGGAAAACATGCAGGTCAGTAATGACTCACCGAGAACGCTGAGCGGTGTCACTGCTCAGAAGCAGATCTGATCATTCCTGCTGCTCTCGAGTTAACGGTATCACGTTTAGCATCGCAGTAGTTGCTGCAGCATTAGCTGTTTCTTTCAGTTGCTGAAATTCCAGATTATCAACACGTACCGAGGAATGTAGTCCTCAGAAAGGACTGAATGCAGCTCGGTTAATCAAGGACCAAAACTTTTGTTTTCTTGAGACAGGACACAAACACTGGAGCTGTGTCAGCTGTTTCAACCAAAGCTCGCTGATGCAGACAGATCTGTTTCTTTTATTATGTACAG